GTCAAGATAGATGTACTGTATCAACTCTGCGGCATCAGGTACAATCGTAACCAAAAGAACTACCTGTCTTGTACGATGCTTCTTTGTATCCTTGTCAGCAATAACTTTAACAGGAGGAAGAAAACCAGTCTGTACAAGAGGTGTACATAAGAATTTTTTAACACGTGCCTTCGTCTCATCTGCGATGAATGGCAAAATTGGAGCAGGGAACTTACGTGAATGGTTGATGTTACCCATATCACAGCCATTGTGACTTTCTAAAGTAACAAGCTGTTCGTACTCACTATACGGCCTAGCAGTCTTATAAAGTAAATAGCTTGTACGGGCACATCTCATGCCAACCTTCCTGTTTCTTGATTCAAACTCTTGCTTTCCAGTCTCAACATCTGTAATCTCTTTTTGTTTCTCGAGGGGGGTTGGAGTTTGAAGGTGGTCAAACAAGTGAGTTTTCAAATTCCGAAACTGTCTTGACATTTTTTCATCGCTCTCAAATGTTTTTTGCGAATCGTTACTATACATAAATACGCCGGTTCTTCCGAGAAAATTTACTTCTTTTGGTTCATTGGGTGGATTACATATGGAACATATAACAACTCCTTCGATATCGTCATACTCAAACTCTGGAAGCTGAATTAAATCAAAAAGCGATCTAAAAGTAAAAATAAAGTTAAAACTTGAGAAAACATTGGAAAGTATATAGCTACTGTAAAATAATTCACATAACTGATATAAGTCCGTACGTATACAATTAATGCATGGGGACAGGAAACAACTTCAAGTTAGAGAGTTCCCCATTGACATTGTTTAAATTTTAGCGCGGAATTTTGAATTAGAAACGTTGGGGAGTGGATGTACCTCCTATAGTCCTATGCCCCGGTTCCTATAGCTATGTCACTGCTTATTTGATTTAGGGAAAAAGCTCACCTTGCTGACTTTCTTTCTGTAACTGTAGGAAGCTCAGACTCCACAGCCACCGTTTCCGGTGAGGGTGTGATGGACAAGCAGGACATGCGATTTTCTAAGTTCTTTACAGTTGTCAGTATTTCGTCAAGCTTAGATGCAACTGAGGATTTGCTTTCTGCGAAATTGTCCTCTCCGGAGGCGCTGAGCGTTACTTTCGCGGTACTTTCGTCGGCTGTATTTTCAAAACCAGGCGGTGTTGAACCAGATGATATTGACATTGACAAGTCGGCCGTTTTAGCAGTTTTGAACAGAGGCTCTTCGTCTACATCACCATGGCCACGTTTCCGTTTGACATTGTTATCTTTGACTTTATTCCCAAATAGTTCTATAAGCGACTTCTGTCCAAGTACTCTTACTTCTGTAGAGTTATGGGCATTTTTCATGTGGTCTTTTAAATTTTGAAGTAGCATCTCTTTTCGACATATGTGACATCTTTCACGTTTGCTTTTACTCCGAAACAGTTTTTTAGACGGGTTCGTAACATTTTCTATGCGTCTATCTGTGCTTTCCAACCGTAACACCTGTTGTTGATCACCCTCTTCGCAAGCTTGCAACTCATTTGAGTCATTTCCATGACAATCTTCAGTTATTTCACCGTCTGAACTTACTTGGCTTGCTTCACTGTCTTCGATACAATCAGTGATATGACTGATATTCTCCATGTTGTTTTTAGAACTTTTCACGCAAGTCAACGCAAGTTTTTAAAGTTTGTTTACTACATCTAGACAATGTCTCATTGTCTAGACTATAGCGCTTGACAGGTTCTATTTTTAGTAGTTCCACAATTAGAACTAGACGTCCAGACCAGTGATTGGGGAAGCCAATTAGAGTCAAAATACAAAAACCTTCCCACTTCCGCTTCTGTAAATTGTTTTATATATTTCTGTAATTTGTTCTATTTTTCTGTAGCGATTACTGCTTTATCTGCAAATATCCCTTTCTTTCCTTTATATACGTCAATTTGTAGCAAAGGATACACCTTTCGTTAGATTCTTTGCATAATCTAAATTTCGCAACCTTTATGCAAAGAATATAACGAAAGGTGTATCCATTGCTACAAATTGACGTATCACGTATATAAACGAAGGAAAGCGAAATTCTACCGGACCCCATCGCGATATTTGCCGATAAAGTGGTAATCGCTACAGAAAAATAGAACAAATTACAGAAATACAAAACAAAGTTACAGAAGTGGAAGTGGGAAGTTTTTTGTATTTTGACTGTAAAACGTAAAAACTCTTCAAGTGCTCCAGACATTAAATATCTTTTGAAAATTGTTGAGGCGAGAGATACATTAACTAAATCCGTAGGCGTAGCTGAAAAATTAAAGCTATCAGCCAAAAATCTGTTAAAGCTATCTGCCAGCGAATTTCTAAAGGCAAATCAAGCTCCTAGTGAGAAGCGTGTGATGGGTCTTTCTTCAAAATTTCAAATTAGAAATCTTACACCACGTAGCCCGAGTAAAAATTTCCTGCGACTGGTGAAAACTTTCCTGCGAGCGCCGCTCGCGTGCTCGCCTATTTTTTCCACCCCTGCCCATGGCAAAATTAGTATAAAGTATGATATAGTTATCACTATATCATTTATGACGTTTGTCATAGTAAACATCGAGGACGTCGTCCAAAACTCTTGTGAGACTTTCAATGCTTCATTTCTTTTCTACAATATTATGACTTTCATTGTAAATATAGCCGATGCATGGGCATCTGGTGACGTTTCGTCGTGCATGCTTGTGTAAGGTCTCTAATCATTAATTGCTATACCTGTTTGTTTTTGACAGAGTTCATCAGCGGTATCTTCGCGTTCTTGTTTGAAAATATCTACAATCATTTCTTCATGATCTTCTATTACACTTTCACACTATAGCAAAAGTAATATTATTCAATAATGATTAAGATACCTCAAGTCCCGATAATTAACATGTAGTTGATGGCTCAGAGAGGCAGGCTGGAATTTGAACCAGTTGTTCACCAAGACCATTATTACCGTGGGAAAGGGTAATTTATGTTGTTCCTCAATTTAGCAAACAAGCAAACATTCTTAAGATCATGCATGCAGTAACCGCCCAGAAAGTTAGGTCATGCATCAGCAATACTTTCGTGAGCGTTGAGAATTACAGTTCTGAAAAATTGACATAGAAAATTGCGAAAAATGCTACTTTGGCCACCGTTTGCCTTTTGGACATGCTTCAAACCTGGCTCTCGTACCTAGACTCCCCGGGTAAATACGTACACAGCTGCTTGCTCGACTTCTCGAAAGCCTTTTTGGTCACAATATCCTCTCCGGTCACAATATATTATTTGTACTAATACAGTAGATCTGGGAGTTAGTTAGACGCTCCTTACTAACTTGGAGTTAGCTTCCCCTCAGGTCGAAGACAGCGAATTAAATACAATAAGTCAATTTTGGATTGGCTTTCTGTTAAAGCAGGTCGAGTTGCTCAGGGAACAAAATTTGGCCAAAACTTGGCCAAATGGACTTCAACCACCCATGGAAACTTCAGAAACAGCAAAACTTAGCACCCCGAGTTCATTATCACTGGCCCGTAACGACTGGTCGGATTATTTCAAAATCACAGCTTGATGAGGAAGAACTGGAGCTCTCCGAATCGCTAGAGGAAGAATTATCCGAGCTCGAAGAAGATGAATAAGCAAATTTGAACATTTGGCTTAGATTTAGAGGTTTTTATTGTTTTGCTGAAAGCCTAAAGTAATTCTGAAACCGGCTCTTACTTCAACTCTACTTCCACGATGTTCCACGCCATTTCTGATATAATGCGATAGATATATTCGTAAACACACGTAAAGTCGCAAACCGTTGGAAGGGTTCGAGGGTGCATGCTAAACGTCATCGTGATACGCCTCGAACAACCCTAACCTAGTCTCTACGCAACAAACGCAAAAAAAATTAAATTTGTGCCATGTTGTGTGTAGGCGGTAGCCCCCCAGTTTGTTGGGCAGTCGGGCAATATTCGATCAACAGTCGGGCAATTTTGGTTTAATAAAATAATTTTTTGGTTTCGCCAAAATAAGTTTTCCGGAAAAAATTTTTTCGGTACTTGTCGGGCACAATCCCGAAAAGTCGGGCAAATTTCTTTCCGCCCCCCTAATTTTTTCCTTCCGGTACGCTCATGTGTAAAACACGTGTTTTACTACGCCCTGAGCTATCACAATAAATTTCGCGCTCCCGTGTGGCCAAAAGCAACGACTATATGGATTTGAAAGTAGAAAAACTAAAATATATTAACAGGAAAATCTTTAGTATACAGATTTGAACCACCTTTATATAAATGTTCCATCCAGTCCTATTTCGCGGTCAGTGATCCAGGTGAAATGTTTTATACAACATGGCGGCTGCAAAATACGAAGGAAATAGTTTCTGGGACGAAATTGAACATTTAACCACGATATTACGAAGAGAAAACCGCACTAAACAGATTTCAAGGCTAGGCAGAGAACGTAATCCACCTTGCAAGGACACGTCGAGACCAGAAGTTATAAAAAAAATCGAATTTTTTATCGAGGGATTGCTGATTAAACTTGGTCAAAATAATCTGCCAGATATTCAATTCAAGAACAGATGTTCATGGGCAAATGTGACGTTTGAAGAAGATGTCGGTGTAGGGATGAACAAAAATGCTTCAGAAACTTCAATGAAACTGAACGCAAGCTCTTCTGTGCAAAAGTATGCAATAACTTTAAAAATTTTACGTATTGCATATGGGTTGCTGCAAGAGAATGTTTACTCAACAAAAAGGGACATCTTCTACAACGATGTGCCGTTTTTTGGAAGTCAGACTATAGTTGACCGTGCAGTCGATGATATATCATGTATGTTCGATGTCCCTCGACACTCATTGCATATTCTAGCTTGCTCGAAAGGATATGTAAGTGGGCAGCTGTCGTTCCGAGAGCACAATGGCAACTTCATAAACTGCAGTGGGAACCCGAATGGCATACTAATACCTTCTCATGTTCATGGTATTTATGATATATGCTCAGATGCAAAAGCAATCCTAGTAGTCGAGAAAGATGCAACATACCAAAGACTGTTAGATGATAATATTTTGGAAAAACTCAAACCAATTATCATGATAACAGGGAAAGGATTCCCAGATCTCAACACACGTCTACTGGTGAAAAGACTTTGGGAAAACCTAGAGATTCCTGTACTAGCATTGGTGGATGCTGACCCACATGGTGTCGAAATTATGTGTGTCTATCGATTTGGATCGATGTCACAATCATACGATGCTGATAATTTAACAGTATCCTGTATGCGATGTATCGGTGTACTTCCAACAGATTTGGAAAGGTTATCAATCAACCAAGAGGCCCAGATTCCACTCACAGAGCAGGATCGAATGAAAATTTCACATCTGTTGGATAGGCCATATCTGAAAGCTCATGGATCATTGCAACAGGAATTATTGGTGATGTTGAATACAGGTTACAAAGCAGAAATGCAAGCATTGTCTGGGATTTCAACTGGATTTTTGACCGATGTCTTCTTACCAATAAAGATCAAGCATGGTAAATGGATTTAACTTTAACAACGGATTTGAATAATTTCAACTAATATTTTAACAATAGACTTTTTACTGTTTTGCTTTACTGCTTATTGTACTTTTGCCCCAATTGCCTCATTTCCATGTTTGCCTATTTTAACATGGCAAGCACACATGAAGGTGATATGTTTTGTGTGCAAATACATTTTTCTTTGACACTGAACCTAATCACATGCAGGCCTATCCTTAAACATATTGTGCACAAAACATGAGCAAATAACCACATGAGAATCAGGCCATTGGGGGAAGAATGAAAGCACAGTCTATTGGTTTGAAAAATTTGATATTTATATAATTAATATTATTTCAGTAATGATTAGGAGTGCACCAGAACCAATATTTTAAGTTCCGGTTTGAACAGGATCTCAAATTCTAAAAAGTTGAAATATACTTTAATGGTGTATGCATATCTATTATTAAAATGATGTCAGTAATATGATATGTCCAAATATTTGGTCCATATTCATTGAATAAACTTTATAATCTTTTTTTCTAATGAAGACTGAGTTCTGGTTCCAGCCAATGGTTTTTTCATCAGTTCTGGCAAGAACCGGAAATCTAAAAAGCCATGGCCAGAGTTTCAGCCGGAACTAACCAGCTGGAACCGAGTTCTGGTGCAATTCCTAATAAGGACAACATTTGAGTGTTTATTAAATTTTTAAAAATTAAATGGTTGAATATGCATTAATGAAAATGTGCAACAAGCAATATAATGTCTGTTTCATGTTTGGCCTTGTTATCTACTGTATCATGTTACGATCAGTAGTTTGCAATATTAGGCGAAAAGGAAATTTGCATTACAACATCAAGAGGTTTACTTCCTTTAATTTCTCACATGCTGCAACAGTGGCTGCAATAATGCCTTAAATGTAACATGGTCTCCCGTTCAGCTACTGCTTGCGACAATGTCATGAGAAGATTGCATGCAGGCTACACTACAGTTCAGCATGCTGGACTGGCATGCTTGTAATCCAGGTGTTTTGTTCCTCCTGGTAAGTCCCATGTGAACAGAATTTAGAAAAACATGCCAGGCCCCCATATGAATAACTCATAATAATCCAGTTCCCACATATGAGATCAGTTAGACACCATGTCAATCCAAAAGCCTGCATTAAGGCGGTTTTCCAGACCTCGCACGAAGCTCCTCGCTGCGAGTGCTTGAATCTAATTAAAATTAACCGTTTTGCATTGTGATTGGATGAAAGTGCTCATGCATGCACTCGCAGCGAGGACTGAAAAACCGCCTTTACACAAGGCAGTCGAAAGCGGGGGGGGGCGGGGGGGGGCAATAATTTCCATTTGTATACTTAGAAAAACACACAAAAGAACTAGAAAAGTGTGCAATTCAGATTTATGAGCAAAGTGGCGTGCATATCCATACATGGGCACAACACGCCATTTTCACGTCGTCTTTGACGTCCTCGATCTAAATCTGTCTATTGATTTACTTCCGACGGCCTTGACTACAGTAGCTTGAAATCGAGGAAGACAATGTGAAAGTGTCTGTTAAAATTCCAATATGTATTTGGCCCTTCGTCTCGCATGGGTACCTATACACTACCACCCACCACGCTACTTTACTAGCTACCTGATGAAGGGCCTTCACTGCAAAGACTGCAAATGTCGAAGTTCTTTTTCTATTTTTCAGGTACTCGAGTTCGATTCCCTGCCAGAGGGCCTATAGTTGCATTTTTTGCAACATCTCTTGGTTAGATCTAATAAATGTATAAAAAATTATATCTGAAGAAAACCCCTTCTACAATGCCATTGGACAACTTGCATGTTAGACTAAATTCTAATCACAGTAAAGAGAAGGGGAAAAAACACAGCAGTTAAAAAGAAAATAATGAAATTAGTAAAATTGCAAAATTTGGTTGCGAAATGTTGTACATTACAGAAAATATAGCCTTGCGAAGTTTGCATACTTTCAGTATATTTGTATTACGTGCGGAAATTGTTACCATTTCGGCTCAAAAATGGTAACAATTTCCGCACGTAAGGCCAATGAAAATTGATATCATGTTTCTCGTCCCCGCCCGCATGGGATTTATCTGCCGCACAAAAATTTTTCATTATTCATTATTTTTGAAAAATAGGCTTAACAAAACACCAAATTGATCTCCAGATCAAAGTCTTATTGCTGTAATCCGCAAGCGCAACTCAAATTGTATCTTTCTAAAGATATTACTCGCCAGAATGCCTCTATTTTTCATGTCAGCCCTGGTATGTGTAGAAATATACTGTAGTGTAGGACGTATTAAATTAAAATGAATTTTACACCGATTTACTTTTATGGTTTTTATGGGTTTTTTACTGGGTCAAGGAAATTATTGTCAAGCAGAATTCAAATACAATAAATAATGAAAAATGAAAAAATCCCGCTCCAAATTTTTGAAAATTGTGGACGAGAAACATGATATCAATTTTCATTGGCCTAATACAAACATACTGAAAATATGCAAACTTCGCAAGGCTATATTTTCTGTATTTTACAACATTTCGTAACCACATTTTGCAATTTTACTTATTTTAATAAGTTCTTTACGCCCGGGCATTTACTTTTTTTTGCCTAAATAAAAAATTAGTCTAACATGCAAGTTGTCTATTAGCTCTATCGAGTGATATTTAACAAATATAAAACATTTTCCGTGTTGGTATACAGTTATATCAACACGAGTGGAATTGGGAAAACTCGAAATTGTATGGAGACACGACGCCCGAAGGGCGGAGTGTTTTCATACAATTTCGAGTTTTCCCAACTTCCACGAGTGTTGATATAACTATTTTTCACATACTTGTACCTTTATCAGGTAGGGAGCAGCGGCCCTATATCTATTCTGTGGTAGCGGGACATAAAAACATCTATGCATAAAAACGATATCGTCCCGGATATCGTTTTTTGTCCCGGATATCGCTTTTTGTCCCGGATATCGTAAAAGTCCCGCTAAATTTCGCGCCTTGTCAAAACAAAGATGGCCGACTCGAGGTTCGTGTCGGTTGATGTCGACAGTTTTATCGAAGGAAACAAGATCGATAATACAAAACGAAAGACTTAAATTGTATATAATTTATATGAATGGTCTATTTATTTTCTAAAATCATATTTGTTCAGTAAATGATGAAATTTTTTGAATTTTAAAATGATCCTATTCTCAAAACTATTCAGTCAAAACTGCTACTTTTGGGTTTCTAACCCTGATAAAGGTACAAGACTTAAAGTATATAATAAATAGGTTATCGTACTCGGGATTCGGTGATATCAGTTTTATCGCTCTCGGGACGATATCACAATTGTACAATTGTCCCTCGCTCGCTCGTGACAATTGTGATATCATCCCTCGAGCGATAAAACTGATATCACCTCATCCCTTATATGATAACCTATACATATCAATACGGAAAAAATGTTTTATATTTTTTTTATAATGTCCGTATTTACAAGCGGCGGGGAACTTCTCGTGTTGACATTGAGTTATATCAACACGGCTCTTAGCCAATCAGCGTTCAGAATTTACAAATGCTATATTAATATAATTACCATATGAAATTCATGAATTTTTTAGCGATTCCCAGCAGCCTTTCGCGCTCGTATTCGACTTTTCCGCTTTGCTCGTGGACAACCTTAATTGCAATAGCTGTATGCATCAACTTGGAGTTAAAGCTTGACAACTGACCTCTGTAGGTCAGTTGGTATAAAAATTTACACTCAAAATTTCCATCTACAAAACCCTTCAGTTCTACAATTAGTTCTATTGAGTGAGATGCCCAAAATCCTGCTATTCTGTTATGCTAGCCTGCAGGCAAGCGTTCTAGAAGGAATTAGCATTACATTACAGGCAGGCATTTCAGTCCCCAGACTGGTTTAGCAATGCCTTGGGACTTCCCACAGGCTATTGTTTAATTCGTGTGAAAAATTCGGAAGAGTCTATCGAATAAAGAAATGAACTGGCCCTTTCGACCCGCCTCATGCAGAAAATCATTAAACGCTTTTCCAAAGAACTATCCTTTCCATTAACGGATATTATCAATACATCTTTTCGAGAGAAACGTATTGGTAAGATTTGGAAAGCGTATAATTGCTGTCCTATTCCTAAAGTTAAACCATGCAGAGAGTCTGAAAATGTGAGACCAATAGCTATAACCAGTATTCTTTCAAAGATTCAAGAAAGTCATGCTTTGGAATGGATGCTTGATGATGCAAAGGAAAACATTAACGACCGACAGTTTGGAGGATTACCAGGTTCGTCACCTGTGCTAGCTTTACTAGAGGTGCTTCACATGTGGTTTGTTGCTTTGGAGAACCCCAACACCGTTATTCGCATAGTATTCCTCGATTTCTCGACATCAGCATCTGACCTCATTGACCACAATATTTTGTTGAAAGATTCTAAAGATGTTGGAGTGCGTCCAGCCTTGCTTCCTTGATTGGCATCGCACCTTTCGGATCGTACCCAAAGAGTGAAATTCGAAGGAGAGCTGTCCAATTTCAGGGAAGTAAATGCTGGAGTACCGCAAGGAAGCAAAATAGGTCCTTTTGCTTTTATAGCAAAAGTTAATAAGCTATCGAACATTGCAGTAGTTGATCCCATGTCAAAAAAGGAACAAGTATCTATGTTCATTGACGATACAACGCTCACAGAAATTTTAAATGTTACCGATCATACCGAAAACCAAACCATTCGGAACATGTCTGCTACCATTCAAAGGATACCAGGTTTCTGTACAAACGAGAAAATGGTCCTAAATCCAAAGAAAACCAAAGAAATGATCATTGATCTTTACGCACAAAGGAGTAATATCCCTAATATTTCTTTTAATGAACGTATAGTCGAAAGAGTTACAAGTTATAAACTGTTAGGAACGTGGATAGATAACGATTTTAAATGGATCAGCAACATGGAATTCATTATTAAGAAAGGACGCAAAAGAATCTATTATCGTAAAGTTCTGAAGAAATACGCGCACCAGCACATGATATGCTTACAATTTTATTGCAATGTGATTAGATCGTCATCAGAGTATATGGCGATGTATTGTGGCACGGTAGTCTAACCAATGCGCAAAGTGTGGACTTAGAAAGGATACAAAAAAGAGAACTTAGGATAATCTGCCCTAAGATGGACTATAATGAATCTCTAGCACACTTCCGGATGTCTACTTTAAAAGAAAGACGTGAAAAACATTGTGTGGAACTTATCAGGAAAATGTCGTCGGAGGGACATAGACTCCATTATCTCCTTCCATGGCAAAAGTTGGAGAACTAAGACAAAAAGTTACTAGATCTAATGATAACAAATACTATAATTTTAAATATCGGACAGAACGTTTTAGGAAGAGTCCATTATTGTACGCTATAAACAGTTATAATAATAGTTGTTAAATACAGATATAGGTTCAAGGTTTTAATTGTTAATTGTAAGCATATTTAAATATTTGTTATTAATAGTCTTTAATAATCTAATTCTTGTAAATACATGGTAATTAAGAACTCCTTTTTCATGTATCTTTTTAAAAATTCAGTAATAAATAAATAAATAAAATAAAATAAATAATTACATATAAAGTAATTTATATGTCATTAGTTAATTAGAGCCAACACGTACAGACGTCACCCGAAAATTGGTATATATAACTAATTCGGGCTGCATTTTGCATCATGGCGCTTATGACGCAAGGAAGCAAAAACTTTAAAAATCTTATCTTTTGTCACATGTGTTGAGGATTACCACAAACTGATACAAACATAACTTTTAATCCACTCCCCCTCGGCGTTGATAAAAACGTCGCTTACCAATCCTATCGGGGATTTTTCTCCTCCTGGCAAATGTGATCGAATGAATGACATGCAAAAGACTTAGAATTGTTTACTTCTGAAAAGCGACTCTACACGTTTGTGTGCGAGTTCACTCATTTGCATCCGTTAGAAACACAAAATCGCCGGCAAAATTGCTAGTGTGAACCAGGCTTGATGCTCCCTATTAAAACTGACACTTTAAGATAACAGTACTTACCGCAAATTTTAAAGCTTTAGCTATATCTCCACTCATCGAAATATTCTCTAATGTAACTGCTTCCCCAGTGCGTGAAGACGTTCGTATGTAACGTTTACGACCTGTTTTTTTGTCCGTCGACTCGGCGTAATTATTCATCCTCTCACACACATTTTCCAATATTTCAATCAAATGCGTTTCTGAGCGAGCGTAAGGAATCTACAACAATTGTGGTAAAAAAAGATGGCATAATCAGTCTCAGGCAAAAAAGCGTTATATTTGAATACAATTAGCCATTCCGAAATTGATGAGTTGACTGGGGACGAGTGTTAAAAAGTGCTCAAATTAAGAAATGAACCAAATCACTAAAAAGGCCACGTCAAAAATAGACGTGTGTCCCAAAAACAATCTTTTAATCAGTAATTTTACAATTTTCGAAAGCTTATTATTCGAAGGGTATTCATGTAAACGTCTTCAAACTTTGCACACTTACTAATTTTGAGGTGGTCTTTTTAGTTATTTGGTTCATTTCTTAATTTTGGCACTTTTTGACACTCGTCCCTAGTCCTCTCATCAACTTCGGAATGGCTAATAATGAAGTGATCTGATCATGCATACCGTCTTGCTTCTTTGGTTTCCACGTGAATCAATACGAAAACTCTCAACCTACAACAATACAGTTACATACATAAATATGTAGATTGTAGGTTACTGCATGTAGTCATCCTGGTGGACAAAACCCTAAGACCTTTTTTAGAATTCAAGGAAAATCTCAGAAATCTCATCCACAATAATATACTGCTCAGATTTTTCATATTTTAGACAACCCTTCGGATACATTTTATTCAAATATTATAAACGCTAAGAAGTTGTAATAAATTAGGGATGACCACCAGAAAATCTTCATCCTGGAGGCATAAGTCTTAAGATTTTTAAACCCCTCAAGAAGAACTCATCCCTCAGAAAAACTCATCCATATTAATAAAGCTCATTAATAATAACAGGGGTGTGTATATTAAATGAATGTTAATTTTTAAAAGGAGCGAGAAAAATTGCGTAAAGATCATTTGGCAACGGATTTTTTCAAAAACTAACCATGAAAGTCAACGTCATATCATTAAGGATATACTGTAAGGTTTTGGTCATGCATGAATTACAAACCTCTAAAATTTTTCTTGGATCTACTTGTAATATGTCCCAATTTATTTCATCTGCGATTATCTTACATACTACAAAAGAATAAAATTAAAATAGAATTGAGATTGTCTGGCTATAATGCACCACATGGTAATTTAGCTTAGTAGTTAAATGAGGTTACATAGTAACCAAGGTTAATATCATAGGAACCGCGCGCAGTCTGGGTACGGCATGTGCCCTCAGGATATCGGATATAGAGAGTGCCAAGCAGACTCTCAGGTCATTAGCTAATTCGTAGCCAACTGCAATGGTTATCTGCTCAGAGAAGAAGCAATTTTTTTTTAAATTGCCATGATTATTATTATTGAAATCTAAGAGTAATATTTCTTCACACCTGCAGCAGAAAAAATGGAAAATGTCCCTACTGAATAAAATTTCTCACAGTACATATGATATCCTTGTGCAAGTCCATCAAAAGTCAAGCTATTTGTTTAAAAAATATGGCAATATTTTTCTCCCAATATTTTTCTTTAAAACCAGTCATCCCGACAAAGTTTTCCGGCCCGGCAGGATGAAACGTCCCGCCTTTTTTTGCCGCTCACCGCTCGCTATTTGAGATCGACTTGTGGGCAAGTCTACGTCGCGCCCCGCCCGCCCGAGATCATATAAACAGGCGAACTCGTACCCAGTTATGGACAAACAGGGGTGGATTTATAGGGGGTGCACAGGGGTGTGCACCCCTGTTGGCCTTGGTCAACAGGCTTGGTCAACAGGCTTGGTCAACAGGGGTGCAAGGGGGGTGCAAAAAAATCAAATTCAGAAATATGGCACAATTTCCAAGTTTTTTTTCCTTATTTGAAGTCAAACTGGAGCTCACAATTCATGCAGTGCCCATATTGCAGAAAATGGCATTTCTAGCTAGGGTTCTAATTTTCAAAATTTTCTGGGGAAACCTTGCTGGATCTGGCACCTCTGCAAACAGGCCCTTGGGCGCAAGATTAACTTTGTGTTAAATTACGACATATTAACGATTATAGGTGGATACCGTTTAATTAATGGTCTGTGGCGTGATAAGATCGTGGCTAAATAATTTATATCTAACGGATGATTCCATGCAGCTAAATGCAGCTAAAGACGAAATGTTGATCTAGACAAGAAGAACGAAATTACCACAGCTGGAAAGAGCATCTTAAAATGAGTAAAATTTCAAAGTTTGGTTGCGAATTGTTGTAAAATGAGGAAAATGTAGCCCTGAGTGTGAAGTTCGCAAAATTTGCTTACAATTATTTGCATAATTGCATTTAATTTAACGGCGGAAAAATAGCCATTTTACCGAGCGTAATACAAATATATACAAAATTTTGCGAACTTCGCAAGGCTATATTTTCTTCATTATACAACATTTAATAGCAACCAATCTTTGTAGTTCTACTCATTCTCAGACGCTCTTTCTAGCTGTGGTGTTGGATTTCGTTCTTTTTCCTTGATGAAAGTTTAGTCTATAGAGGGTCCTGAAGGGGGGGTCCCAATCCCATTTCCCATCCGAAATTTTGGCAAAATCACAGTCCCAGTTGGATTTTTATTACACATCCCAGTCCCAGCAACCCAAATCCCATTTTACCAGTCTAAAAATAGATCAATCCCAGTTCCCATTTTACCCCTTCAGGACCCTCTCTATAGCTGGAATCACCCATTGGCCATTGTTTCCACGTGTGTTTTGAAAATCAGCTAAGATGACATCAATTGCAACTTGCAAAGAAGACCCTGAGAAATACATGATATGCTATTAATCATACCTCCGCAATAAAGACCTTTTCTATTATTACTACATAATATTTGATCCGTAAGAAGGAAAAGCATTATCAATAAAAGATTTGTTACACCAAACATTCTTTGGATACCTGAAAAACATTAATACGCGTACAGTATAATATTGATACGGCTAAAAAATGAAAGTAGTTACGGTTAGTACACGAGTGATATGGCTAACATAAAGGCTGATATAAAATACTGCAAATGCAATGCAAATACTGGCAGGATCCCCGTATGATTCTATAGGATTCTGGAATGAATTCTTATATGGGGCTATTACATTAAAAAACCAAACCCCCCCTGTCGAGGACCTCTGCTTTTGGGGATTTTTACCCCTCTGGAATGCAAAAAAATATGTGTAATTGACCCCTCTGGAAGAGACTTGAACCCCATCTGGAAGTGCTTTTTTGCTTTTTAACCCCTCTGGAAAGAGCATTTTTCTTCCATTTTTCCCAATTACCCCTCTGGAAAAAATGAGTAATTTCCCCCTTGGAAAATGAGGTCCTCGACAGGGGGGGTACGGATATTAAATGTAATAGCCCATGAGTACTCAGTCTGGTAGAATTGGCAAGTATATTTAGAAAACTGGCAAGATTCCTAGTATATAGCAGTTACCCATAAGAATTCATTCCAGAATCCTATAGAGGGTAAGCTGCATGGTACAGGTAGATGGGGCTTAGTACATGGAAATTTCCAGCGGAAGATTAATATATACATTTTTCAGGCCTATATAACCATACATGAGCAGTTGCGAAAATGTACATATAGGCCCTCTGACAGGAATCGAACATGCAGGCCAATTACCTTATACTGGCATCACCACTTTATACAAGAACTTGTGGTAATACAAATGCTTGTCAACTAGCTTTGTAGCTCAGTTGGTTAGAGCGCTGCACCATCTGGAGTCTGGAATCGCCTTACATGATTCTGGCAGGATACTGGAAAGATGGTACCTAAGAATCCTGGGTGGATCAAATTCTAGCAAGATCTGTTCTTACAAGTACACGTTCAGCTAAACAATTTCTCAAAATGTTCCCATATTGATGGTTCTCTAACTTTTTTGCAAGAACGTAAAAACTTATATTTTAGTCCCCTTCTACTAAGCACCCAATCCTGACCCACTGGAAAAAATTAAGTCTCAGAGGGCTATATAAATGGAAGAAATATGGTACATGTACAGTACCCTTCGCTGTTTTGTAGTTATTTGAACACCCTTTTAAGTTTAGAGAAATAAGTTTACACAATTTGTTTTCAAAAATGTATTTGAAACTTTTGTATTAATTAACATTAACTGCATTTGGAACAAATTTGCAGGGACGCCGGAACAATGATTTTCGTGAAAGGGCACTTTCGAATTGATATATACTAAGAGATGTTTCCAAAACATTCACAATTAAATCCGTTTTCTATTTATTGGATGATAGGGATGTGAGGGGGTTCTCCGCGAGGCGATTGTGCTATTCTTGAGGCTCGATGATTGCATTTTTTGCATTTTCTGAAGCAAATTGGTAAAAGAATTGCACTAACATTTCTTACAATTTGCTATTTCGCCACGGCAATCCTTTAAATTGAAAGGGCACATTTGCCCCTCCTGGTAAAGGGCAACAGGGGTGGCTGCCCCTCCTACCCCCCAGTTCCGGCGTCCCTGCAAATTTGTATTTGAAACTTGTACTCCCATTAAGCTTTGCACGCTTAGAGTTAAACGATCATCAGGCGATTTTTTATTTTTCAATTTGGTGATCGATTTTTTATCATTTGAATAGTGATCATCAAGAAAAAATCGCCAGATGATCGTCTAGAAAGGACGTGAAACTCTGAATAGCGATATTTAATTTCAAGATATAGACAATTTAATATGCACTAGCTGCTATTATTTTAGTATTGAGCACTTTATATATTCACAAAACCAAAACAAATTGAATTATATTTAACAAATATAAAACATTGGAGAATAATGTGTGGAAACACAATGCCCAGAGGACGGAGTGTTTTCACAGAATTTCAACAGTTCACACAATTTCACACAATTTCAACATGACACAGTTTCTTTGGAATATAGTGTCAGCGTAACCGATCAATCTAATGTCATGGAATGGAAATACTTCATGCCAGTTCCAATATAACGTTTTTTGTGGTAAGAACTCGACAATAAACCCTCATCTCTCAGTTATGTGACAGTGCTTTGTGATACCCCCTCTCCCTTGTGACATTATGTGACTATAATGTTCAAGCACCTCCCACCCCCTGAAAGTCACATATTTTGTGTACGGCCCCTTACTGTACATTGTTACTCAAGGTCAACCATGGGCAATGGCATTTAGTGGAGCATCAGAGGTGGAGCATGTATCATGTATTGCTAATGAGAACAAAATCTTGGACATTAGTTTAATTGGTTACTTTAATACATTTGTTTAATTAGTTACTTTGTAAATATCTTGTATATACATCAGGTACATGCATCATACGACTTATACCTACCAGACAAAATGTCTTTTGAATTAAAATTATTGAAAACAGCTTCAAGGACTTTTAATTCCTCTTCAAAGTTCAAACTGATCCGAAACTTAACCGTAAGAAATTGACCACCATGGCTGTATAAATAATTAAATATATCTTGTTTCAACCGTAACAAAATCCATCCTTCAGAATTCGATCGATTATAAATATGCGAAAAATGTCAAGATGTGCAACAATTCTTAATTATTATCTAATGCAAATAAAAATTTATTTTTTTTAGCTTCTTTTATATTTTTTGGGATGTGTTTATAGGGAAGTGTTGTTTTTTTTCTCTCTATTTTGATTGTGCCGGTGGAAATTGATATTTCCGGGTCAAAGTTCGATAGCTGAATGTGCCCGATGGAAATTACTGGCCGTTTCGGGATTCGGGAAGTAATTATATCAATGAAAAGTGATTGATTCTTTCCAGAAAAATGGTCTTCCATTGAAGTCTACTTTTCTTGTCTTACTGGCCTTTGACTCTTTATCCGTGTGGGATAAATATGGCACCACCGAAATCAAGGAAGATCGCAATCATGGGCTTTCGTTCTGTTGGTAAGAATTGTAAAAATTCAATTCCTTTATGAATGATCTATACTTGAATAATCTGGAAAATTGTAAACATTATGCTTTCTATCTTAATTAAAATTCCTTGCTTAGCATTTTGTTTCGATTCATGTTTCCTCATAGGAAAGTCATCCTTAACGATACAGTTTGTAGAAAATCAATTTGTGGATTCTTATGATCCCACGATAGAAAACAGTGAGTAACAAATATTAATTAGGCATGTGATTTTTAAATATTCTAGATACCAATGCCATTTTAATATATTTTATATAATTCCTGTATGTTGGTAATACATGCTCTTAAATACATCAGACATTTAGCTTTGATATTGTTGGGCATTATAAATGTAGTGAATCATGTCAAAAATATTTGTATGTTGCTTATTTTTAAAAAGTGGTCGTACAAATTAACCCATGGATGGAGCACCTCCAACACTCCCTTTTGACGAGTAAAATTGTCTGGCATCAGACAGCGTAAAATAATAAAATTAGGCCGCTTTGGGGTGCAATGCAACTTAATGGGTTAACCCATACTATTGTTCCCAGTAAACTGCGAAACGACCGTTTTTTGGGCGGTTTGTCAGTGACAGTTTTGTCAGGACAGTTATGAAGGACATATTTGTGTACCTCGTGATCACAATTTGTTGCAAGCGGCGTGTGAAAAACTGCAAGTTTCAGTTTGACAGTTAAATGAGTTTCTAATTTTATTGTCCAATCAGATGCGTAGTTTTGAATTTTAAATCAAAACTACGCACCTGATTGGACAATAAAATTAGAAACTGGTCATTTAACTGTCAGAACTGTCAAACTGAAACTTTCAGTTTTTCACACGCCGCTTGCAACAAATTATGATCACTAGGTACACAAATATGTCCTTCGTAATTGACAAAACTATCACTGACAAACCGCCTAAAAAAATGGTTGTTTCGCAGTTTATTGGGAACAATAGTATTTGAATGCTAGCACCCTCCCCTTGATGAGTATTATTGTCTGGTGTTAGACAGAGTAAAATAATACAGTTGGGCACTAGGGCTCATTAGGGTGCAACAAGTTAAAGAGTCATCCTCAGACTTTAAAGGGGTTGTTTGGGTCTGACTAATTACTGTTTGGGGCTGAAATTAACTGTTCAAGACTACCTGGAGCTACGGTTTGACTACCCAGGACAACAATACTTACAGTATATACTGCACTAAGAGAATATAGAAATTTATACCGGTAGAATGAAACTACAGTACATATTATGTTCTCTTAAAGCATGTTTTCCACTAAGCGTAATTTTGTGTGCAGAGCAGAATTCTTCTTTGTCTTTTCTAATTAGTTCCTTCCGAGAAATCGCAAGACAAAGAAAAATTCCGCTCCGCATGCAAAATTCCACCCTGTGGAAAACCAGCTTTAGAGCTGTGTGATTCCTGAAATTTCATCTCGGTTCTGGTTTTGGTCTTTTTGGGGTGGAAGAACCTCGGTTCTGTGTCAGTTTCGGATTTTCAAAAGAAAAACGATATCGATATATACTGTATATATAAAATTATTATATATATATATATGTATTATATATCGATATTTTTTCGCGATTGTATTTTGCTTAATTTTATGCAAAATTTGCTTAATTTTATGCAAAAGTTTCTGTTTTCAAATGATGCCAAACAGCCACAATATAACAGCTCTGACTCATTGGGTGTGTGATATTTTCAATAAAGTGTGAGGCCAATGATCAGTAGCCTGTGAAATGTCCGCTCTAAGAATTGAAAATGCATATTACTTATTAGCATTGATTACCGAACCGGATGAATTGTGTGTGATATTTTTGACCAGGAAATTGTTTCAAAACATTTTATTCAACTGTGAATTCGAAAAAAAATCGTTTATCTCACCACATAAACATTGTTTTTCTAAAACATTTGTAATCCACCTGATTGTTTACGTTCTAAAAGTTTATTTTAAACCTTGCAACACCAACGTATAAACAAACATGTTTTAGATCTCGCTCTAACCTTAAATTTACGGATTTTACTGCGGAATTAGCACATTGATCGTCTTTGTCCTTCTGAAATAGCTCCAATCAGGCTCTTGAAAAAGCTTGATATGACGTTTAAATATACAAACGTAAACGTGATATCGATAATACCAAAAATTATTGATATTCCGATATATCGAAAATTTCAATATTGACTAATCTGTATTTATCAGGGCGTGGTATTTATAAAAAAAAAATAATTATCGGTATATCGATATACCACAACAGCCTAAGAGAAATAAATACATTCGGAAATAAAATTATCAAAAAGGAAATGTCTTTGTTTGAGCCTTTTTTAAAGGCAAAGTAAGTGTCTTTTTTGGTAATATTAGAACAAAACTAAATTTTTTTAGAAATTTCTTAGAACTTTCCTTTTATTTTCCCTCAATTTAATCATTAAGTCACATTGCAATCAATCAATTAAATACAGTAGGTCTTCATGGGGAAACACTTCGAACCCCCTTTGGTGAGGTTCCTTCAGCACTTCATAGCTGCTGCCTACTTCTTTCAAAATTAGCTTCCTACTCCAAATTCTATTGGGAACCCTGTAACACATGTACAGAACTTGACCCCAGCCATCAAGTTTCAAAATTGGTCACTAAAGCCGTGTTTACACTACGCTCAATTTTTGGTACAGTACGGATAATGGTACCCGTACCACTTTTTTGGTTCTTGGACTACCTATTTACTTTTACACTACGCTCAATTTTTGGTGCCGTATCACTTTTTGGTTCTTGGACTACCTATACCAAAAAAGTGGTGCGGGTACCAATTTTATCCGTGCCGTACCAAACATTGAACGTAGCGTAAACGGGGCTTAAGAGTAACATATATAATATTGAATAACATACAATATCTGCTACAGTAATTGGATGTTTTATGTTTGGCTCTGATATGTAAATCCACATTGCAGCATTTACAAAAACGGTAAAGAATCGAGGACAAGAATACAATCTAGAACTGGTTGACACTGCTGGGCAGGTACTTGAATCAATAACTGTTCAAAATTTATAGTCTGTACTCCTTCACTGTATAAAATTATTAAATTGCCAGTAATACAGCAACACCTGTCTGCAATTAAATAATTAATTACATTGGATTGATATACTGTTTACTTATTAGTATCGGATTAATATTACCGTATTGGATTAACATTCTTTGTTTGCATGTGACGTCATGGCAGCCATGTTGGAGGAGCGCTAACAAATGAGTATTGTTACTGTTAGCAGCTAAGTATTGTTTTCCTCCATCATGGCCACCTTATCTCTTTGTCTTACAAATCTCAAGGGATTGATTGCAAAGCACCAATTGTTACTGTACAATTGCCTCTTAAATTGCAATCCAAACTTGTATCTATGCAAACTTCTAAACCTATATTTAAACTACAGGTTTCGTATTTTCAATAACCACTCAATCTCAAATAATAATTATTATTATTATATATCAATAGTCAAAGTCGCATTTTTCTAGTGTTTTATTGGTTGAGAGCATATCACGTGAGAGTGACGAAATTAGGCTGTCTCCCTCGCAACAGCGCGAGGGGAGATAATACGTTATCGACCGGCGAATAACAAAAAAAATCACGTGCGCCATCACGTGAAGATGCGACCTTTGGACACGTCTAGCACAGAATAGGAAGTTATACCAGAAGCGTAACTCTAGTCGTTTCCCTTATCCACGAAAATTTTAACTCGCTCACGTCAGGCCACGCCATCCTGGCTAGTACAGCCGGAAGTTTTTATCAGGATTTGATAGGTACAAAGTGCCGGTTGTACTAGCCAGGATGGCGTGATTGATGACGAATCGCTTGTAAAAACGCGGACAAATACTTGCTCGAGTTACGCTTCTGGTATAACTTCCTATTCTGTGCGTCTAGTACGTAATTAAAACTTTCGCTTTAAGTAACTGCAGTCTAGCCAGTGTTTAATATAACGTTTTAACAATAAAATATTTCATGTATTTACGTTCATTTGTTCTTTAATTTGTTGTTTCTTTGACTATTGATATATAATAAAACACTTATTTACTGAGACCTCGGGAAAGCAGTGGAAATAGTTAGTTTTGTTTTCCCAAGAATCTCAATGTTTCCTGAGACGAAGTCGAGGGAAACATTGAGATTTGAGGGAAAACAAAACTAACTATTTCCCGAGGGAAAAGACGTTAAGTGTTTTGTTATATAGCGACGAAACAAATATCAACATTGAACAACATTCATACAACAATATTTGTATTTCATGACAAAAACTCTATAGCGTAAACGAGTTTAAAATTTAAAAAACCTACTTAAATGGTTTCAGCAGCATATCCTGTTGCCTGTTATGTATTTGTCTTCTTTTTTACATTCTTTATTTTAACACAAATCCACGAAAACAGTAGTTTAAAGAGTATAAATTTGTGCCGCCATTTTGTTTATTTATGTACGTAGCCGGTCGGGGCGGGCAACAATTTTTCACTTATTGCCCGGGCGGGATACATTGCATTTATCTAAAGCCACGTGACTACAAATCAGCCAATCACGTTTGGTGTTCACACTAGCTATTTAACAAGAATAATTATTAGTTATCAATGTCATAGCCAACACTGAACCCCCTCATCTTTACCATCCAGAAACCTTCAATTTTTAAGTGAATTTCTCTCAATTAGTATAAATTGCAACCAGTATTATATAATATAATCATATGGTAACCACTAGCTTCATCATTTGCTTCTAACCTGACAGGATGAATACTCGATATTTCCTCAAGCTTACTCAATGGGGATCCATGGTTATATTCTTGTTTTTTCTGTTACATCACAGAAAAGGTAATTTAAAAGTTAACAACTAGACCTTTTTTAAATGATACCAAACACGGATAAACATGCACTTAATGCGATGTCCCAACAGGACAATTTTTAGGAACAATTTACAATGCAAGTGATGTTACGTTGGAAGCTGAAATTTGATTGGCTCGGCAACGATTTGAATTGAGAGTTTGCGTTTGACGTCATTATGAAAAAGGTCTACTGACCAATACATGTATGTTTAATATTATTTAAACGGTATAGTATTGGTTTCAGAAATATTAAAGAGGTTCCCAGTAGAGTGAGCAGGTAATGGTAAACTTCGGAAATATTGACATATGTACTGTATGATTGCAAGAAAATGAAACTAATTTTTCAAATCAAATTACAGATGCCTCTATAAATACGTTAATACAAGACTACTCACGTAGCAACGGACAACCTGTTCCTGGTTGATCTCGACAGGCTTGAACAAAGTTGTGCTGCACTTTCAGAAATCAGAACAAGTTATCAACAATGTTGTTATAGTATTGGTCAGTTGTAACAATGCCGTAACAACATTGTTGACAACTTGTTCTTATGGTGCAGTACAACTTTGTTCAAGCCTGTCGATATCAACTGAGAGCAGGTTGCATGTTCATTCTTACGAGTGTACTACAGATAATGAAAAGATTTAACATTATTTTCTCTCTTCTAGCTATCTAGTAGTACCCACCATCGTATATAGTAAATATGCGTGTAAGAGGTTTAACATTTACAGTCTCTACAATCTATAGCAATGCTATATTTTCATCTTTAGTTTTGATGTGATCCAAGTTATTCACGACAAGTTATTGGATTTCACAGGACAAAATGGGTAATACTGTAAATCTGTATATAAAATATTGATTTAGAAAATGTATAGGAGCTTCAGTGGCGCAGTCGCCACCAAGTTATTGGATTTCACAGGACAAAATGCCGGTAATACTGTAAATCTACTGTAAAATATTGATTTAGAAAATGTATAGGGGCTTCAGTGGCGCAGTCGCCACCAAGTTATTAGATTTCACAGGACAAAATGCATGGGTAATACTATAAATACAGTATGTACAGGTATATAAAATATTGATCCACGAGCCAACGCTGTTCCGGGCATAAGCCCGGTGCGAGGGTACTAATTCCGCCCGGCTATTTACACCCGAATAAATGAATGAATTTTCATAGCGATTCCCAGCAGCCTTTCGCGCTCGTATTCGACTTTTCCGCTTTACTCGTGGACAACCTTAATTGAAATAGCTGTATATATATATATATATATATATATATATATATATATATATATATATATATATATATATATATATATATATATATATATATATCTATATATATATATCTATATATATATATCTATATAGATATATCTATATAGATATATATATATATAGATATATATATAGATATATATATAGATATATATATATAGATATATATAGATATATATAGATAGATATATATAGATATATAGATATATAGATATATAGATATATAGATATATATATAGATATATAGATATATATATATATGTTTGGGAAATTGATAATTTTGTAATTAAAGGTAATATTTTTAGGGGATTTTTTTATAAGTAATACCATGGTTTTTAAAAATATAGTGATTAAATCTCCCGCAAACCGAGGAGGTTTGTGAAAGTCCCGAGGAAAAGCCTGAGGGCGAATTGATAATTTTGTAATTAAAGGTAATATTTTTAGGGGATTTTTTTATAAGTATAATACCATGTTTTTTAAAAATATAGTGATTAAATCTCCCGCAAACCGAGGAGGTTTGTGAAAGTCCCGAGGAAAAGCCTGAGGGCGAAGCCCGAAGGCGTCCCGAGGGACTTTCACAAACCTCCTCGGTTCGCGGGAGATTTAATCACTATATTCTTAAAAAACCATGGTATTAGTTTGTAATAGCATGATGACCGAGGTGAGGCTAGTGTTTTCATTGTACAAAATTAATTGATAGTACGAGTATTGTGTAATACAATGCATGATCAGTGATGTATACAACAATTTTCCATTATCGGAAATTCGTTTGGGAATAAACAATTCTTAATATACGTGTGTCAGTGCCGGGTGCATGTGCATGCATGCATATAAAATGAGTTACTTTTTAACTCAACTCAAGTCTTGTTTTTGGACGCTCACTAAGAATGATATGGCGGATAAACGTTTCTCGTTTGTTATGGAAGCCGATGTTCAGAAAGTTAGAGATAACAGAACGTCTGAGAATACTATCAAACACACTAGGTGGAGCACGAATGTTTATAAAGCATGGGCAAAGGCAAGAAATACCAAGTTTCGTGATTTTGAAGCCGGGAGTGAAGTACAGTATTCAAGCGTGTGCCAGATTTGCAGGAGATGAGCGTTGACGAAATTAATCACTGGTTTAGCCGATTAACGCTAGAAGTACGGAAGAGAAACGGTAAAGAATATTGCCATGAAGTCGTGTATAGTCTGTTTTGTGGTTTAAACCGAACAGTTCAGTTGCAATATCCAAAGTTAAACCTGTTTAATTCGGCTGAGTTTAAGCCGCTTCAGCAAACGGTCGATGGGAAGCTGAAAGAACTACAGAGCACCCGAAGCCCAATGAAGAAGAGAGCAGATGCAGTGATGGTTAGCGATGAAAGGGTAATGTGGAATGATGGCATTTTGGGTACAAGTTGTCCGACTAGTGTCATTTAACGTTAGTGTTCTTAACGGGAAAGATGTTGACCCATGATCAATTTCAGTTTGTCGAGCAGACTAATGGTAAAATGGTCGTGAAGTATGTAGAAAAGGTCTCGAAAACAAACCAGGGAGGTTTAAAACGGCGAAAACAGGAGACGAAGAGAGTCGAACATCTTGAGGACCCTCAGTTTCATTAATTTTATCACTTTTATGTTTCAAAGTGGTAAGTAATTTGTATCCTTAATATAGAGTTACTGTATATACTTCATTATAGTAATATATACTATACTTGTTGCACTAATTACGTCTAATATTTTTTATATTTTTAGTCCCGACATGCCGGCTGATGGCCCGTTTTACTTGCAACCTAAACGAAAATGGTCTTACAGCGATAACCTGTGGTTTGAAGCCAGACCAATTGGGTGGCATATGCTGGAGAAACGGTTTAAAGAAATGTGCAAAGATGCTGGCTTAACGGGAAAATTCACTAATCACTCTGGACGAGCTACATCAATCACGCGTTTGTATGATGCTGGTGTGCTGGAAAAATCTATCATGAAAAGAAGCGGTCATTGATCCATTGAAGGTGTGCGAACATATCGAAGGGAAGACGCGAGTGCCAACACCCTTATCTCAAATGTTTTGTCTGGTGCTTCTACCTCAAATTCTGATTCAGTGTTAGATATTGACGATGAAACTCTCGTAAATGCATGTATAGATTATGAACAACGTGCAAGTTCGACACTAGATTTGAGCGGACTACTACAAGGAGCTAATTGTGGAACTGTGAACATCGACATTAATATGAGTAAATAAATTACTGTCTGTATAATATAATTGTGTGAAATGTTTAGTGAAAAGTGAATATTAATAAGTCGAGTAATTAACACTTTACCTTACTGTCATCAACATTGTAGTGTAATTATTTTGTTTGTTGTGTAAAAGCTATTAAGAAAACTCTTTGTCGTGTCTTTGAATTTTGACTCATGACTTTTAATCAGGGAGAAATTAGAAATCTGCCCGGCTTTGCCGGGAGAATTAGATATGTCCCTGCTAAGCCGGAAATATCGTGATTAAACCATCCGGCGAGAACAAAAGAACCCGAGGTCATCATGATATTACCATTTTAAAACTATTCTTAAAATAAAATTATCGTGTTACTATGACAACTGCTAGGCCATCAGCCACTCGCGAGAATGAAGCTGGAAAGCAAGTTTCGTTTCCCCCCCCCCCCACGGAGACCAAATTTTGATTTCATTATATGTTGAGTGGATCCATTTCAATGATAAAAAACCAATGTTGTACTTCGGCAAACATGCAGGTCATGACGTCATCCATAGATGAGAAAACTAAAAATTTTTGAAATTCAAAACTTTGAAAATACTGACAGATAGAGCATCACATGTGTACAAAAAAACTATATTATGATAATCACGTACGGTCAATTGTTACTGAAATATTGCTGACCAAAGTTTTGGAAAAATGCTGAGTAAGCATTTTTAGTCAATGTTTGATCTGCAAATAGTTAACTGTAGCAACTTTATTTTTCGGACAATAAATCTCCTGTAGAGAGACTGTCTCCTGGGGAAAGGAGTAAAATGTTTCCGTCGTAATAATACCTTGAATTGGGCGTTCCAGCATGCGTTTCAAAGGAAGGCAGATTTATGCATGCCTCAACGGAATTAAGCGCAGTGCGGACGTCAAGCGATTGTTTCCATAAACATGTTTATTAACATTAATCAAAATTTGTCCAAAATGAAAATCAAATTAGTAAGGTTTTTATCTTCTTACTAGTTTTTTTAGTGTTTTGAAAATTTAGTTTTAATTAACGAAACAGAATTTAACAACAAATTTTGATGAAAAATCGCCCCTTTGCGCCTAATTTCGCTTTGAAATGCGTGCGTTTACTGCTCTTGTATGAAGCAAGAATTCGAGAACATCGAAGCACTTAGCCTGCGAAACAGTCTACATTTATGTCGCTTATTCCACTTGGGGGAAAACTTATTTATCGCGTCCCCCCCCCCCCCTCCAAGTGGAATAAGCGACATAAATAGAGTCTGTATTCGCAGGCTACGAAGCACTGTAAAATGTAATGAAATCGACAACTTGACCTTGGTCTTGTGACCTTGTACTGCCTGTCCTGCCTCAGCACTGAAATGTTTTTTGACAACCATAATTTACCAGAGTTTCTTGAATATTTTCCTTGTTTAACTAGTAGAACCGAGCGTACAAGTGCATCAGAAGACTAAGCGAGAGTTTTGTGTTGAAATGCTCTGTTTACGAGAAGTTATTTTGCATTCGCAAGCCTCAACAAAAGCCGGCATTTGCACAGTTTGATTATCATGTCGATAGATAAAAGCAGTTTGAAAATTCAAATTGAAAACATTTT